AGCGACCGGCGCATGAATTTAACCACTCACCTCCACCTAGTGCCGAGTTTAAGAATTCATGATGCTATACCTCCCCACACGTTGTTTTGGAGTGGAACTTAATTAACCGCAGGGACTTTTTATCACAGAGATGACAAATGACCACATTTTTTAATTAACACGCGTTAAAATAATGAAGGTATTAGCCGAGTTAAAATAGATTGTGTGTAGGAGCGCTGTTCGTATTGTTGCGATGCGCCCCCCAGTACCGCGTAATTGTCCTTGTTCCGCTGAAACGAGATGGTTGCATAATTGCACATCTTCAAACGTCGCCCAGTCTTGCCGCTGTTTCTGACATCTCCGATGAGAATAACAAGAAATAATTAAAACAACCACTTTGAAGATGAAAGAGGTGGTACTTAATAATTCGGTCCGTACCGCAAAGAAAACGCCATTACAAATATCAACTTGTTAGTGCTGTTTAAGGAAATATTAGCTGTTTATTTAGAAAGACAAATATACAAATGCAGAATTACAGGTTGTTGACGATGATGGTACATCTACAGTTCACAGATCAGGAGAAAATTCCTGCTAGGAATTAGATATACGCGCATGCGCAAGATTTCGCGGCGAGTGACGACCCATCCTAAAAGCATTCGTTCCACAACCACTGAACGAACAACACACAACAATCTTTCTTGTGTTTTAATGTGTACAGCTTTAAGTTTACCGCACAGTGATTTAATCTAGAATATTATCGCAACACCCGTAGAACACATTACAAGTACGCTCACTACACGCTACTATTAACTGCTTGATGTTTTCAGTCTGTGTAGTAGCGTAAAACTCTGACGTATCACACTTCCCACCAATAGCAGCCCTCTAGTCCAGCTGATAAGTAACATTCCCCCCGCACCGCAACAGAAATGACTTTCCTCAACAGGGTTTTGCTGATCTGTGGACAGTAGTTACCAATGGGAAAAAAAAAATGAGTGAGATTCTCAAGTGAACAAATTTGTGTGGTGGATCTTATTTTCATCAACACTGGATCCACTTGTTTCAAGAAACGAACGACAGTGTTGTGACTGCATTCAATCTTTGCCTTCCAAGAACCAAGAAATGACCGGAAATAACAAAAGAAAGAACAATGATTTTCTTTAATACAAGAACACTGAAAAGCACCACTGTTGGAAGTTGTCTGGGCTGCATTTCTTTGCTGGTATGGTTGCGCCCAAGCGAGTCGTCAACGGAATGCGTTCTCGTGGATGGCCGCGTGAAGGCGCTTCCGACGCCATACCTCCCTCTCGATCAATAAGTAAGTGGCGGGGAACAGAGCAGTTGAACAGCAAGCCGAGGGAAGTGAGACACGAAAAGCCGTGTGCGCGGTGAAGCTCTGTTGAGGCCGTGCGTCAGTGCATTTGTGTGTGAGTGAGGAAAATTATCGCCCACGTCCTTTGCGTCTCTCTGTCTCTGCTGTTTCTTATTCTTTCGGTTCTCATTTACCTTCGCTTATATCATCCCTACTGCTGGTTGTCCCCCCCTTTCTTCCTTGGCGGGCAACTTCCGTCAGTGTACGACTGTTGTTTGTGGAAAGTCGGGCAGAAGGGAGCGTTTGGTTGGTTTAATACAGAAATGGCTACTGAAGACGTGTACTCGTGAATTCAGAAACCAACTATGAGACTTGATGGTCACCTGAGGTTAACACTTCTTCGCATTTGACTGTGTTAATATCATCACTACCGCCAGTCATAAAAGGTCAGTAACCATCCGCCATTACTCAAGCTGCGCGCACACAGATATTCATACACGTACATAAAAGAGTTTTTTTTTGGGGATACTTCCAACTACCTGGCAACAATCCACGAATGTTGCCTTTTTTTTTTTTCATTTTGAAGTTAGAGCTGCTTTAATCGGCGTGTGGTGTTTGTGTATTTATGTTTTAAGGTTTGTGAAAATGTTTGAATTATCATTATTGTGCTTGCGTTAACAGTAGCCGCCAGTTGGTAGTGGTTATAATAAAGCATTCTATTCTACCACAAAATAAGTTACACGTCACTGAACAAGAAGCAGAAGTTTAACTTGAGAACGAGTGTAACAAATCGACATCAGATTCGTGATGAAATTAAGAATTAATTAAAACACGTTGATGTTTGCAGCCATGTAAGCAGTTAAGAAGGAACTGAATGAGAAACATCGCAGTTTGTGCTCTTAATGAAATATAATATCTAGGTACATGAGATGTGTGGGACATTCATATACAGTTTTATTCAGCAAAAACAGAGAGATCTAGATCAAAGCGTGGGGGGAAATTAGCTGTCTAATATGGGAAATAATTTTAAATGGCACAATTAGTTAACAAGTGAGGTATTTTAAATATCTTGGCTGCAATTATTACGTGAACTTGAGTATATGGTAGGTAGAAAATTGTATTTATTCCAGACCCTATATGTATTTTCGATCTATAGATAAGGAACAAAGAAATGGGGAGACTGCATAATGAATTTGAACTTTTTACCTTATACTGATTGGAATATTCAAGTAACAAGGTCGAGATTTGCTTGACATGAGGATAATAATAATACATTTTACTAAACATATTTCAAGTAGGACGTGACCTTGAGTTACGCACGAGAGGGAAAGTGAATCATAGAAATAGTTTCAGAGACGTGAGCTACATTCAGCTGGTTTGGGATACAACCCTACAGGAGGATTTTGTGAACACGATGATAAACTTAACACAAGTTCCCGTAAAAGAAGGGATTGACCGGTTGAGTAACAATCAGCTGGTGCACGTCCTTTGTCGCATATTACGGTCCTGGTGCTTCCCCCCCTCTCCCTTCCCACCCGTGCTTGGTATGCCAACATGTTGGCAGGTTTCAGCTAGGACATGTTATAATTAAATATAAGAACAGTGTCGTTATTTGTATTGTAGGTCAGAATTTCGTATCCCGGTTGAGGAATAAATGCATTATGTGAAGAAAGTTTAATCAGCAAGTCCACTATCAGGGGCATGTAAGAAATTTACGTCTTAAATAGAAAATAAGTCTGAGTAGATGCACTAGATTAATAAGCGGATGCACACACGAGTAACATAATTTCTTTTCACACCAGTATTGAAACCAACAAATGTCGGAACTTTAGCGTTTGAGATGCGTACCTTTTTAAACAGTAACATTGGTTTAATGTTTCATGTTATCCTCCCATGTGCGGGTTCGCCTTCCCAAGTGGTATATTCCCTTCAACCATAAATTTTGTACGCATTTATCATCTGCCCCATGCTCGTTGCATGCCCCACCCATCTCGTCCTCATTGATTTGAACATCCTAAAATACTTGGTGGAGAGTAAGGCTAGGGACCCACTGGCGCGACTAGCCGCGTGCGACTAGCTGCTTGTCGCACGCGGTTTATTAAATCGCGTGCGGCTAGTCGCGCGCGATTTATGAAGTCGCGGCGACTACGCGCGACAAGCATTTATCAGTATTTAAATGGAGGTTGGAGAGAGAGCAGCCCCTACTGTTCTATCATGTCCGTCGTGGGAAAAAGCGAAGTCTTTGATACTGCATACATCCCATGTTCTTGGAACGTTCCACAAAAGGCGCATTCCATCTGCTGTACGACGAGAAGTTTTTCAACTACACAAGAATGAGTGTGAAGTCGTTCGACCAACTGTTACAACTGATCAGGGAGGAAATAGAAGGAACGGATACAAATTTTCGCCAGAGCATACGCCCTGAAGAAAAACTCATGGTCACTTTAAGGTACGAGGTGGGATCGGAAAGTTTCAAGACTGTGTCAATAGAGGGCGAACCGGATGTAGTACGAGCTTCTGCCTTTAGGGGGTGCGGCCTACATTCATAGTGAATCAGTGTGCCAGCCGGCATCA